AAACGGCGAGAGTAACTATGACTCTCCTAATTAAGGGACGGGTAAACGGCGAGAGTAACTATGACTCTCCTAATTAAGGGACGGGTAAACGGCGAGAGTAACTATGACTCTCCTAATTAAGGGACGGGTAAACGGCGAGAGTAACTATGACTCTCCTAATTAAGGGAACAAGGTGGAGAAATCAGCGTGGAAAGAAGACCCTGTTTACTAAATATGAATTCATTGAGTAAGGGAAACTTCAGCAGCACGATAACATTAAACTATATGAATATTCGGCCAATCACCACGATAACATCAAACTATGTGAATATTTGGCCAATCACCACGATAACATTAAACTATGTGAATATTTGGCCAATCACCACGATAACATCAAACTATGTGAATATTTGGCCAATCACCAGGATAACATAAACGTATGTTAATTTTTGGCCAATCAACGCGATAACATTAAACTATATGAATATTTGGCCAATAACCACGATAACATTAAACTATGTGAATATTTGGCCAATCACCACGATAACATAAAACAATGTGAATATTTGGCCATTCACCAGAATAACATTAAACTATGTGAATATTTGGCCAATCACCAGGATAACATAAACGTACGTTAATTTTTAACCAATCAACGCGATAACATTAAACTATATGAATATTTGGCCAATCACCACGATAACATCAAACTATGTGAATATTTGGCCAATCAACGCGATAACATTTAACTATGTGAATATTTGGCCAATCACCACGATAACATCAAACTATGTGAATATTTGGCCAATCAACGCGATAACATTTAACTATGTGAATATTTGGCCAATCACCACGATAACATTTAACTATGTGAATATTTGGCCAATCACCACGATAACATCAAAGTATGTAAATATTTGGCCAATCACCACAGTAACATCAAACTATGTGAATATTTGGCCAATCACCAGGATAACATAAACGTATGTTAATTTTTGGCCAATCAACGCGATAACATTAAACTATGTGTATGTTCTGCCAATCACATTTTTGTCCTGTAAATAAAATTACGAGAATATGAAGTTGAACACGTGCATTTCATAAATGGCATAATCAACTTTATCACGATTAAAGAAATGTTTAAACTGGTTGCTATAGAGACAGTCACAATAACAACTCTGAATGTAAGAGACTTCTTAAATATTTATTAAATACACATACACGCACACACACACACACACATATCTTTATATCTATATATAAGTTTCAAAGACTTGTTTAATCTCTCTATTTGGAGAAAAATAGGTATAAGCTCACATATGTATATATATATATATAAGGCACACTGCTGTACAGACAATGCATGTACAAAGGTAAATGTAAAGCATCTATCTCAAACAACACTCAACAGAACGGAATAATAGCCTGTAGAAATTAAAGCATCTATCTCAAACAACACTCAACAGAACGGAATAATAGCCTGTAGAAATTAAAGCATCTATCTCAAACAACACTCAACAGAACGGAATAATAGCCTGTAGAAATTAAAGTGTGTGGTTGTAAATTTCATGAAGTGTGAGTTAAGATATTTATTTACTCTCGTTATGTTATAGGTAAATGAAAGTAAAAACAAAACAGTCAACGAGATTACTAAGTTCATTTACCTTTAACGCCGAATTTTAATAATATTTTTAAATAGCTTGTTTTGGGGGTAAACTTACTGAGTATAGATAATATGTATTTTCTTATTTTTGAAGATATATGTGCGGCAGAGTAAAATAGTTGAATTCAATCAGAAGATAAAGACACGGGAAAAAACAGCATTATCTTAGACATACTGTAGTGAGTAATGTTGAGTGATCTGGAATTTCAATTTGTTATGCAAAGTGCAGCGAAACGGAAACCTGTTAATTCAAAGGTTGACTGGTGAAAAAAGTTAGATATGCATCACAAGGTCTGAGAGGACAGGTATAAGAGAGAAATGTATCAAATAAAGGTCCTAAGAGGTGACCCTGAAAATGTAGAAAAACTTTTTTTGTTCTAGGGCTTCTGGATCCAACACCTCCGAAGATAAGAAAATCCTAGTTTGGAGAAAGGAATTTTCTACACCCTTAGTCCTATATATTTCAATACCCGAAAGTTGACTATAAAATACTGGACTTTCCTTTTAAATATAGCTCAATAAAAGCTTATTATCTTCTCATTTAATGGTATGTATGAGACTTATAAAGCTAAAAATCGGGTTTCGATACCCACGTGAGAAGAGCACTGATAGCTCTTTGTGTAGCTCTGTGCTTAAAACAAACAAAATATCTACTCACATTCAACTCAATAGAATGACGATTTCTACTTAAATATACTAAACAGCGGTATACCAGATATATCCGATTCAAAAGCCTTGATAAAAGTTGTATATAACACAATATATTTGTAATTAAACAATCCAATTGTTTTTGATGACTTGAGTTAAACGCTTAAAACCAGCAATATATGTGATATGGTATTAAACCCAGTGATCTAAAGTGTATAATTCCTATTCAAAATTTCATCCAACAAACTTATAATTCTTATCAGTAAATGGCACAGGCTTAAGAAGAAAAAAATGCGAATAACTTCTCCAAATCTTTCAAACTAAGTAGTAGAAAATCTATTTATTGATTAGAATAAACTCCATGTATAAGAATATTTGTCAAGAAAAGTGGTAGGCAGTTTATTTTGTTGTAAGCGCAAACTACACAATGGGTTATCTGTGGTGTGCCCACCATGGGCACCGAAGCCCGGTTTTTAGCGTTACAAGCCTCCAGACTTACTGCTTAATCATTTGGAGGAAAATAGGATAGCTATTAATACAGATGTTAATTATTTCTATATATTTTATGATGATTTTATTTACAACACTATAACACACTAAGAACTCATAAATAATGATGTCTCAAAAGAATTAACCCCAACAGGATCACATCTAAGCTGTCTTCATATATTTATATGAAAGTATATTCTCATGGAAACAGAACAACCGGTCTCGACAAGATTTTGCATAGGGTAAGAATGTCAAAATTTGTATGCTGGCACATTTCATGGAAAAAAAAAAAGGTTTGAAGTTTAATTCTTCAACAAATTTCTAATTTTTTTGATGTTTCAACTTGGTTATGCTACAAAGGCAGTTTCAGGTCGTGATGATAGTGAAATTGTAGAGCACGAGTGAAACAGAATGAATTAGTTTTCTGAAAAGTTAAATATCATTAGAGCCCATGTTTATGCAAAAGTTTGCGCAATGTGATGAAACTACTTTAAATGAGGTGACTACCGACAATTTGGGGATGACTTTATACTACACCTGCATCTAAATAAGTGTTTTAAGTTTTCAGAGAATACTGTATTAGCAAGTAACATTTTGTTCTTATCGATTATCAGAAACTAAATATTAAAGTTTAAACGAAAACAGCCATTGATAGCGTAATGATGAAGTATTTTCGAATTTTAGCAATATCCTTTCACTTCGGGTTTTTGTTTTTATGGAATACGAGAAGAGTAGCACTTACAGATATTTGAGTATCATTACAATCATTGCATTTATTAAAAAAACAACTTATGATATGCAGATTAATTCTGGGGGAGTTTTTTTCTTTAATGGTCCTTTACATCACAGTAATTAGCATAGATAATTATGACTAACTGTCAAACATGTCTGGAAATTTTTTAAAACTTTAGATACATAGGTAAATAGCAGACAATTAGGTGAACATTGGTATCGATTTATAAATTATATACATATTGGATATATTTACGGAAAACATAGATGATACTAAATAGTATTTATATAGAGACTTTATACTGGCTAATTCAAGATTGTGAGTTTTCTATTAACTTCTTTTTTTGTTTCCCTCTAAACATTGAACTGTTTCACTAATTATGCTGCTGAAGAATATTGTGTGGATGGAAGAGAAATTGTTGCTTAACAGGTTTTGTTTCCTAGGGAAGGAAATGATGTATAAGAATATACCTGTGCCTATCAGTAGACAGAGTTCCATTAATCTTCTGTACATCTCCAAACTATTGGCTGAGGTGTGGCACACATGTGTATTAGTAATTTTTAGCTTTAATTTATCTAATGAGTTAGTGGCACAGTTTATTTAAGCGTTTTTTTCTTCATGAAAATACATAAAAAATTTTAAATATTATAGACCAAGTTCCCGCGCAATAAAAATATTTTGTTAGTGGCTTTCTAGCTTCTCTTCGTCCGGACCTTTTGGTTCAACTTCCAGTGGTGGTGCGCCTGATTCAGAAACTGAAGGTGCAACAATATCTGGTTGTCCTGGTAATAAATAGCTACCTGGGTACACAGAAGCAAACACTGTTGGAGAAGCATATACGAAAGGTGCCGGAGCTGCGATATGAAATGGAGAAACATAAAACTGATTCTTTTTTTCTGGTTCTTCTTCCTTTTCAGGTTCAGGTTCAGGTTCAGCCTCTTTCTCTTCTTTTAAATGCCACCAGAAACCAATGACACACCCGGCAAATCCAAGCAACAAGATAAGAAAACCTACTGTTACTATTGCCACTGTGAATCGCATGCTGTCATACTCGTTGGATCCAGTCTTCGCACGAACCGTCGAAAACATTGCTACAATTCCTGCCAGGAGTATAAAAATTCCCGCCACTGATCCAACCGCTGAAGCACCATAACACGCTCGTATTTCTGGCTTCATCTTAAAATGATTCTCTTCCTTCAAATCAATTGCAACCTGACAAAACAAACAAACAAAAAGTATGAAGGAACAGTTCATATTATAATGTCTATTTATCATATATTATGCTTACTTTTTCTATTATTATTTTTTTTCTAATAATTGTGGCGTAAAAACCTGTTATTTAGAATTTTCCTTGATATACAAAAAGGCCGGCGCAGCCCGGTGCTTAATGTATCGGACTGTTGTTGTGAAGTTATGATGGTACGCGTCCTCTTACAGCCAAAAAATAAATAAAATAATATTACTACTTAAGACTAGTCCCACCTGTGTAATAGGGTTAACGTTTGCTTGCGTTGATGTTTCAACTTACTGCACCCAGTGGTTTGTTTGGCAATCTATAGAGTTGAGATTTCGTGGGTCGCGCCATCTTAATTTAAAAAAAAAATCGTGTTCCGCTCTTTGGGGATGTGGGTGTGTCATAAAAAAATCTAATAAAAACACCTCAGGTGTGAAAAAAGGTGCGGCCAAAAAAGGAATTGAGTGTGCGACTTAAAGGAATGAAATCAAAATTGGCAGCCAAACTGTTAGCACTGATAAAACTTTTACAGCAAATATTCATTCATTAGTTAGCTTGGTCGCGTTTTTTTGTTCAACTTTTTGGAATGATGGTGGGTGAAACAAGATACGCGGTCTAGCTAATTAATGAATGAATATTTGCTGAAAAATTCTTAACAGTGCTTTAAATGTAGCTACCAGTTTTGATTTCTTTCCTTTAAGTCGTATACTCAATCGTTTTTTAGATTAACAGTTTCTTGTCATCATGCAATCGGTACAGTCGTATCAAGCATCATTATTTATGGTAATTGCTTAAGCTAATATCACGTAACACTAAACAGTCTTTAATTAGGATAATTTCATAATATTTAGTAAATTTGTGCTGAAAAGTTGGCAATGAATAAACAATAATAACCGTCCACTTATATGATTCTTTTGAAAACTTGAGCTAGAAACTGATAATCTACTTTGCTTGGCCTAACCAATACTCATGTATCTGCACGTCCTTTCACTTTATAGTTTTGCTGCTCTAAATCAGTCGTCTTTATTCCGAATGACAAAAAACTAAAAACGTCCCACTTTTACACTTAGGTGAAGTTGTAGTAAAAATATTAAATCGATAGCTCATGTGACTTTTTGCGTAGGCGTGCGCAATAATTTTCGTCAAATTTGAGCGTTTTTTGTTAAATAACATGTGGCTTATAGTTACATCAAATGAGACTCCTAATTGCAGGTTAAAAAGATCTATCAGTATACTAAATGTGAAAAAAAATCCATAAAAGTTAAATATGTTTTTCTATCAAATAAAGATTCCATACTTTCGGTGCAAAGAGAAAAAAAAACGGAAACAATTTAATCAAAATTGGAGATTTTATATTTCTCAATGAATTACCTTGAAATTTGGTATATGAAATGAAGGTCCACTAGAGCACATACACTGAAAATATGTAACAGTTTGGATTATCAGAGCCTGAGATACAGAAGATGGAAAATCACTAAACTATCACTCCTGTTAATAACACACAGCAGGATTATCAGAGCCTGAGATACAGAAGATGGAAAATCACTAAATTATCACTCCTGTTAATAACACACAGCAGCAGGTTGTTTTGGCTTGATGAGAGTGAAACTTAACTAATCGGTTTGACAACAGTAACTCAAGAGTTGGTGTTCAATAGTTGCCTTTCCTCTAGTCTACCACTTCAAAATTAGGGACGGCGAAATTCAGGTGAATCACAAACAGAATTAAGTTTCACTATTGTGTATAAATAGCTTATAAACAAAAGCTTTTAGCTGGAAGTCTTTAACATTTTCTAATAATCTATTTTAACGTACATTATGTGAACACACACACAAACGACCATTCTGAAAAAAAGTTCCATTTTAATATTTGGGTAGTGGTCACTATATTATGTTTCTTTCCTCCCTTTGGAGGATAAATAGGCTTAACTTCCAATGTGATGATAGTCACGACGATGGTAGCTATGGCCCAAACTATCGAAACTATTTCACTTGTGATTTTATTACTAAATTTTTAATACGTTTAAAAACGTCATCGGTATATTTTTTGAAGTAGCATCACCTAGTTTGTTTGGAAACGAGTTAAACAATCGAAAGCCAATTTGATTTATGAAGATGATTAACCACACTATTAAAAAAGTTATTATAATTTAACCTCATCGTGTTTTTCTAATTAAATAAAATCTAAATATGTTACCAGATCTGCTAATTAGTCCGTTGACTAGAAATTCTGAATCTTAGATAGCTTATTATTCGAACTAATCTCATCTACAGTCTTGGCCAAAATGTTTGCATTCTGTTCTGTATTGATATTACTGTCTACATGCATGGAGTAGTTATTGAATAAATGCTCGAGTAGTAACAAAAAAGGTAGCGTATGATCAGAGAAACATGTACCAGTTGTTATTCTGGTCTATATAAGTTGTTTTGAGCATTTGTTCGTCAAACACACATACACACCTGTTTTGTATAAAAGGGTGTGCTTTTCGTATAATCTTTTTAGAAACAGATCAACTCTTTGTTCAGACAATTCCTTTGTACTTGGTGTAAATTCATGCTTCATCACGTGCCAGAAGTTATAGTGCGTCAAATTGTCCAGAAACGGTACAAATCAAACGAACATGCCAGAACAGTAGGGTTCCCCCAGTGTACTATATCCAGAATCCTGAAACTTCATCGGACTACAGGAAACTTTGTTCCAGGAAAGTGTACAGGTAGACATCAAAAACTACTGCCCGAAATTGTCGTGTTTTGATCAGGTTAACACGTCAAGATTGAAAAAAGTGTTGCAACAGGAATGGGATGAACACATTCATTCTAGGGTATCCAGAAGAGCAGTGAATAGGATACTGGCCAAACAATGTTATCTTGGTAAAAAGGGCTATCTGCAAGTAGATCTTAACCAGAATTTACCACTGTCACCGTATTACTTGGGCAAGGCGGCAAGCCGACTTACAGTTAGGACACTGACGATATGTCATCTTTTCAGATGAGTCCTGTTTCCGGCTTGTTAAAGCTGATGGTAGGATTTATGTTCTTCGTTTGCCTGGAGAACAGATGAGGAAAAACTGTCTTTTCCACAGGGAATACACGGATAGTGGTGCTGTACATGTTTGGGTAGCTATTCATCGTGGTGGAAAAACTGCTCTTCATATCCTTCAGGGAAACATCAATGGCGCCTCCTATAGTCATCACATGGAGACGTTATTTCTGCCCTATGCTAGGGCAAAGTTTGGCTATAACTTTGTGTTCCAAAATGGCAATGCCACTGCCCACAGTGCACGTATTGTATAGGGTTATCTCGGCCAGGAGGATGTTACAAGATTCACATGGCCAGCAAAGTCTCTAGAATGTAACCCCATCGAGAACTGTTGGGCAGAACTGAGCCGAAAAATTGTTAATCACGACCCTAAAACAGCTATTGTAGCTGCGACGCAGCGCCTTCTAATGAAAACTTGGGATGAAATCACGGGAGATTACATCAATAACCTTATCGACAGCATGCCACGTCGCCATGCGGGTGTTATTAGAGCATGAAGAGGACCAACCAAGTAATGAATATTTAATGCGAACTGATATAAGGTTACAGACGCTGTTTATGATAATTTTATGTTATATTTTGTCATTATATATGTTTTGGTAAGGTTTTATTGTGATAGGAGATAAACTGAATTACACATCTTTCTACAGATATCGGATAAAATTGTTTGCTGTTTTAATAAATCATTCATGATGTCCATAGAACCTGTCTCATTATACAAATCAAATTACATATCTAGATGTATAATATAACATGCATTTCTATGTTTGACATCATTAAGTGTAATCGTATTTCATCTTAATAATGGTGATCTTATTTGTTAAAAATATGCAAACATTTTGGCCAAGACTGTAGACGCACTCCTAAGTTATCTTAGATATCCAACGTTATATTTACAAATATAGCTGTTATTTATAAGATAGCTAATATTGTGATTTTGACAAAAAGAAGAAATATCTAGTTGCGAAATGGATTACAAAAAACAAAAATACCCAGACAAATCGAATTTGGTATTAATAAATAATTAGAGGTTAACTTCATCAAATTCTAAACTGGAAATTACCACTGTTAATCTGTTGGTCTTAATGTAACAGAAACTAGAAACGTAGAACGTTATGAAAGCTATCATAATTCGTATTTCAATACGTATATATGTGGACACTATGAAAAGTAAATTACCAGTATCTTATACTTTACTGGAGCTGTAGTTCAATTCCTTTTATAATATTGACTTTAAAATTTGTAGAAATGTCAAAGTTCTTATTTTATTTCTAAGACAATTTTATTATTTAACCATATGATTTAATTCATCTATCTTGAATAGAATAGTACGTTCAGACTGTACGTTGTATTAATAACTTTCTATTCCTTATTCATTGTAAATTTAGTTAAGAAAAACTGGATTATAAATATCATATTAACTTTTTTCCTTTTAATTACTTTAAGCTTTCATGCATCCAGGAACAAACAAACATAAATAAAAATTATATTTTAAGGTACAAAAATAATTTAAAATCTTTGCTTCCAACAAGTATCTTAAAATCATATTAGGAATAATATTTCTTTAACAGTTTCGTTAATAATCTGTTGCTCAACATCCAACTTATTTTCGACATAATTCTATTAATGGAAGATAAACCAAACAAGATTTCCGTAAACTTCTAGTAACTTTTAGTTCCTTGGTTTTCTACAGTTTTTCGTCTATATGTACTAGCAGAAATACCCGCCCTCCGGGCAGGTACAACTGCTAGTTCCTGCTGAAGGTTATTGAGCCTGAGGCCTTTTCTAGAATTTTCTGACAGTTCTACAACAATGTGCTCATACTTGACATTCAATAATGTTCACCATCCATGAGAAAAAAGATGTTATTGAAATTTTAGTTTAAAAATGAACTATCATCTCAGCATTACATCACAGAGTTGATTTTATTGAAGTATTT